GGTAGAGTGGGAGCAATGGGAGGCGGTACAGGGACCCAGGTCACACTGTGGGACCAGCAGCAGCGTGACCAGGCGGTACGGGGGCCCATGGCCGATTTGGGGCCTGGCGGCACCTATGGGAGGCCTTTAATCTGCCAGCAACCTATGACAAAATGGAAAACCGCAGGAGTGTGAGGAGACCTCAAAGTGGCACATGGCAGAGTGGGAGCAATGGGAGGCGGTACAGGGACCCAGGTCACACTGTGGGCCCAGCAGCAGCGTGACCAGGCGGTACGGGGGCCCATGGCCGATTTGGGGCCTGGCGGCACCTATGGGAGGCCTTTAATCTGCCAGCAACCTATGACAAAATGGAAAAACCGCAGGAGTGTGAGGAGACCTCAAAGTGGCACATGGTAGAGTGGGAGCAATGGGAGGCGGTACAGGGACCCAGGTCACACTGTGGGCCAGCAGCAGCTGTGACAGCAGGCGGTACGGGGGCCCATGGCCGATTTGGGGCCTGGCGGCACCTATGGGAGGCCTTTAATCTGCCAGCAACCTATGACAAAATGGAAAACCGCAGGAGTGTGAGGAGACCTCAAAGTGGCACATGGCAGAGTGGGAGCAATGGGAGGCGGTACAGGGACCCAGGTCACACTGTGGGCCAGCAGCAGCGTGACCAGGCGGTACGGGGGCCCATGGCCGATTTGGGGCCTGGCGGCACCTATGGGAGGCCTTTAATCTGCCAGCAACCTATGACAAAATGGAAAAAAAAAGGTGTGAAAAAGGCCACCATTTTAGAACGGTAGCGAGGGTCCAACAAGGTGGACAGCCAAAAGTCATCCCTCTGTCTGATGGTTATTATTCGGCTGTCGCTACGCAAGCAAGCGAGCATGCTATGGGCCATTTGTGCCAAGGAATGCGAGGGACTCCCTGCCTCCATCTCCACAGCATACTGCCACGGTGCGTCTGGGTCCTCTGTCTCCTCCTCCTCCTCTACCAGATGCTCCTGCTCCTCCACTCCTGTCCGCTGAGTGGAAAAACCACCCATTTCACTCAATAATTCCTGAGCACCAATGTCCTCCTCTACCTCCTCCTCTTCTTCCTGTCCTGCCCCCACAGGGGTCATGTGGCGTTGAGATCTGTGCGCCACGTCTACCGCACTCTGACCAGCCATTGTTAACAGCATTTGTTCCAGGACGTGCAACAGAGGAATGACCTCGTTCATCCCATAGTCCTGCCGACTCACGAATAGCGTGGCCTCCTCAAAGGGCCTGAGCAAGCGCAGGTGTCACGCATGAGCTGCCAATGGCTGACATCTAAGTTACACAGGGAGTACCTTTATCGCTTTTAACATCAGGAAATCTGTGATGGCCTTTCGCTGTTCGTAAAGGCGGTCTAACATATGTAGGGTTGAATTCCACCTTGTTGCAACGTCACAGCATGAGGAGTCGGTACGGGGGCCCATGGCAGATTACGTGCCTGGCAGCAGCAATGGGAGGCCCGTAATCTGCCAGCACCCTATGTCAAAAAATTGAACACACCAGCAGTGTGAGGAGACCTGAAAGTGGCACATGGCATGAGAGACTCTGGACCTGGCAGCAGCAGCATGAGGAGGCGGTATAGGGGCCCATGGCAGATTAGGGGCCTGGCAGCAGCTATGGGAGGCCCGTAATCTGCCAGCACCCTATGACAAAAAATGTAACACACCAGCAGTGTGAGGAGACCTGAAAGTGGCACATGGCAGAGTGTGGCGATGGAGACAGCAGCAATGGGAGGCCGTACAGGGACCCATGAGAGACTGTGGACCTGGCAGCAGCATGAGGAGGCGGTATAGGGGCCCATGGCAGATTAGGGGCCTGGCAGCAGCTATGGGAGGCCCGTAATCTGCCAGCACCTATGACAAAAAATTGAACACACCAGCAGTGTGTGAGGAGACCTGAAAGTGGCACATGGCAGACATGGCGATGGCGATGGAGACAGCAGCAATGGGAGGCCGTACAGGGACCCATGAGAGACTGTGGACCTGGCAGCAGCATGAGGAGGCGGTATAGGGGCCCATGGCAGATTAGGGGCCTGGCAGCAGCTATGGGAGGCCCGTAATCTGCCAGCACCCTATGTCAAAAAATGTAACACACCAGCAGTGTGAGGAGACCTGAAAGTGGCACATGGCATGAGAGTGGCGATGGAGACAGCAGCAATGGGAGAGGCCGCAGGGCAGCATGAGGAGGCAGCAGTATAGGGGCCCATGGCAGATTAGGGGCCTGGCAGCAGCTATGGGAGGCCCGTAATCTGCCAGCACCCTATGACAAAAAATTGAACACACCAGCAGTGTGTGAGGAGACCTGAAAGTGGCACATGGCAGAGTGAGGCGATGGAGACAGCAGCAATGGGAGGCCGTACAGGGACCCATGAGAGACTGTGGACCTGGCAGCAGCATGAGGAGGCGGTATAGGGGCCCATGGCAGATTAGGGGCCTGGCAGCAGCTATGGGAGGCCCGTAATCTGCCAGCACCCTATGACAAAAAATGGAACACACCAGCAGTGTGTGAGGAGACCTGAAAGTGGCACATGGCACATGTTTGGGGCATGATTCATGGCGGATTTAGTCAGTTGTGTCAGGAACTGGTGGTTTGAAATCCAGACTAATCCACGCCTGATTCATTTTCACAAACGTGAGTCTCTCCACACTTTGGGTGGACAGTCGTGTCCTCCGCGGAGTTACAATACCTCCTGCCGCACTAAACACGCGCTCCGATGCCACGCTACTGGCCGGGGCATGACAGCCTTTCAAGGGCAAATTCAGCTAGTTGGGGCCAAAGGTCAAGTTTCGTTGCCCAGTAGTAGTCAAGGGGATTGTCTACCTCGGTTGGCAGGGTGCTGTCCAAGTAGGCCCAAGCCTGTTGTTTTTGAGCTCCTGCTCCAGGTCCACCTGATGCTGCTGCTGCTGCTGCTGGCTGGTTAGTAGTTTCCTCACTGCGCTGGTGAAGAAAGCTACTCATCATCGACTGCAGACTGAGGCAGCCGCTGCTGGTGGAGCTGCCACTGCTCCTACCACCCCACCCCTCCCCTGCTGCCATGGCAGCGGAACGCGAGCGCACAGGGCCCACAGTGTCTGAGGATGGACGTTGGCGCAGAAAGGCAGAGACCAACTGACTACATAGGTGGTTTTTATAGTACGTAATTTTGGCCTCCCTCTCAGCAGGTGTGAAAAAGGCCACCATTTTTTGGAACGGTAGCGAGGGTCCAACAAGGTGGACAGCCAAAAGTCATCCCTCTGTCTGATGGTTCCCAAATTCGGCTGTCGCTATGTAGGGCAAGCAACCGAGCATGCTATGGGCCATTTGTGCCAAGGAAATGAGGAGGGACTCCAACTGCCTCCAACCCACCATCCACTCCTGCTCCACACTACCAGCACTGCCAACGGTGCGTCTACCCCAACCCTCCTGTCTCCTCCTCCCCACCACTCCCCACCCACCAGATGCATCCACTGCTCCTCCACTCCTGTCCGCTGAGTGGAAAAAACCACCCATTTCACTCAATAATTCCTGAGCACAAATGTCCTCCTCAAACCTCCTCCTCTTCTTCCCTGTCCTGCCCCTCACAGGGGTCATGTGGCGTTGAGATCTGTGCGCCACGTCTACCGCAGGTGGGTTATGTACCCTCCACTAACAGCCATTTGTTCCAGGACGTGCAAACAAGCATGACGTGTCCCATAGTCCCTGTGAACACTCAAGAATACGTCCTTCCTCCTCCTCCACCTGGCCCATCCTCAAAGACAGGCCAATGGTGACATCCAAGTAAACAGGGGGTCAACCTTCTGTCCACGTAACATCAGGAATTCACGCATGATTGTGCCAATGGCTGACATCGAAGTTACACAGGGGAGTATTCTGTACCTTTTCCGCTTGTAACATCAGGAAATCGGTGATGGCCTTTCGCTGCTCGTGCTAAAGGGGGTCTAACATGGTGTGTAGGAGTTGATTCCGCCTTGTCTCAACGTCGCTCCAAGATTCAGGCGATGATGTGGAATTCCGTTCTGCCGCTGCAGCTCAGAATGAGGGTGTGCTTTTGCGGTGTAGGAATGGCTGATTGGCATGCACCTGCGTTCGTTTACTTTTAAGGTCTTCCTGCACATTTTGGGATGGTGGATTTTCTTCCTTGCGGGAGAACAGGATGCATGTGTGGCCCACCGTTGAGGAACACGCTTGACAACCGATTGCAAACACACGTGAGCCATGCATGGGCATGGCACAACCTTCCTTGACGCAGAGCAGACACCATGTTCTTTCCGTTGAGGGGTCAACATGGGTTCCGATTTTCAGTTTGCGCTTGACAGCCATCTGTCGATTTCTCTGTTCACCGCACACTCAGAAGTTCCTCCCCTGTGTGACTACGTTCGCCAAGGCATACCAGGTGCAGCACAGCGTGACACCGTTGCGCCCTGCACATGTGATATTGCCGGTCGGGTAATGGTAATGGGACTTGGGCACGGGGGTGGCGGCTGAGGACACGGCGGAAAGAAGAGGTGTGTAGAGGTCGGCGGACATGTTTGCTGGACGGGGAGAGAAGCGGTGGCAGAGTGGCGGTGGACGTGCAAAAAACGTGGAGGCAAAAGCGTCGTGACCTGTCCAAGTTTGCTGGTGTGCGGGCTGTGCCGGCACCACGTTCACCCAGTGGGCCGTAAATGACATGTACTGTCCCTGACCGTAGTTACAGCTCCACACGTCGGCGCTGCCGTGCACTTTGGCAGAGACCGACATGCTCAAAGACTGGCCCACCATCTCTTCTACATGTGAATGCAGGGCTGGCACTGCCTTTTTGGCGAAGAAATGACGGCTTGGCACTCTCCACCGCGGCGCGGCACAAGCCATCATTTCTCTCGGAAAGGTGCTGAGTCCACCAGTTGGAAAGGGAGGGACTGCAGCACCAGCAACTTGGACAGGAGGACGTTCAGCTTTTGCACCGTCGGGTGCGTGCTCGCAAACTGTTGTCTCTTGGAAACGGATTCCAAGAAAGACTGCTGACGGAATCCGAGAAGAGGAGTAGCAGGAGAAGGAGCATCTGAACGAGCGGAAGATGCCAACGAGCGACAACTCCCCTCAGCAGAGGTGTTGGAGCCTTGACTGGCTGATAGAGGGCGATTGACGACGTCGGGTGACGGAGCAAGTAACGGAGCGGGTGATGGAGCGGGGGCTGGGGCAGGCAGAACCGCCGTATCTTTATCACGGTTTTCCCAGGCCACCAAATGGCGACGCTGCATATGCTGACGCAACGCTGTAGTCCCAACATGGGCCCCCTGGCCACGCTTGACTTTCTGGCCACATAGTCGACATACGGCTACGTTTACTTCCTCGGGCGGCTTGACGAAAAATTGCCACACATCCGAGTAGGAAACTTTGCCCCCGCTACTCCTCACTGGCTGACTGCTACTTCCTCCGTGCGCACCGGCACCACTACTGGCCGTGGTGGTAGGCTGCAGTGGAGCTGGTGCTCTACTCCGTGGACGTTTGGCTCCACTGACACTGCTGCGACCCTGCTGCCTCCTGGGCAACCCACCGACTGTTTCGCTCGCTGCCAAGCTGGCACCCTCTTCTCCTGATGATGCGGAAGAAATTACCTGATGACGACGAGGCAGCCAAGTGCGATCAACCTCCTCATCATCAAGTAGGGTCTCCGCCTCACTACTAGCCCCCTCGGCTGCGTCTGGGTCAGGAGACAGACCTGTCTCTAGACCGGCTACCGAGCCACTCTCCTCGCCAGTACTTCTTCGCCTGGCTGCTGAAAAGGCGGATGTCTCCCCCCCGTTCCTGACCGCCCTCTGTTAGCTCTTCCTCACTGTACAGTGGGGCTGAGCCCACAGCATGCGATACTTCGCTTGGTGAGGGAACAGCAAAGGACAGGGGCAGGTAGAGGACACGTGATTTCAGTGGGCTTGCTCCCGGGCCATGCCAACTAACGGTTGTGTCTGACGTACCCACCGACCGTTGGCTGTAGGTGTCAGAGGTGACCTGGGAAGAGGAAGAAGACGACCGAGCCAACCAATCGATGACGGCAGGGTTGTCGGTGGAGACACGACCGCTGGATGACACCGGGAGCACTGGCCTCTGGCTGAATAGTGCTGCCTCGACCCCTTCCTCTGCTGCCACGTCTGCTCGCTCCTAAAACATTGCCTCCTCTGCCACTCCTCTGCATGTTGTCTGACATACTCTTTAATTCAACGATTCTGTAACAATGTCTGTGTCCCTGAGTAACAATTCTGTGTCCCTGAGTAACAATTCTGTGTCTGTCCCTGAGTAACAATTCTGTGGCCCTAAGTAACGGTTCTGTGGCCCTCAGTAACAATTCTGTGTCCCTGAGTAACAATTCTGTGGCCCTAAGTAACGGTTCTGTGGCCCTCAGTAACAATTCTGTGTCCCTCAGTAACAATTCTGTGTCTGTCCCTGATTAACGTTTACTGTGGCCCTAAGTAACGGTTCTGTGGCCCTCAGTAACAATTCTGTGTCCCTGAGTAACTGTTTCTGTAACGGTTCTGCCCTAAGTAATGGTTCTGTGGCCCTCAGTAACAATTCTGTGTCCCTAAAAGTAACAATTCTGTGTCTGTCCCCTGAGTAACAATTCTGTGGCCCTAAGTAACGGTTCTGTGGCCCTCAGTAACAATTCTGTGTCCCTGAGTAACGTTTATGTGGCCCTAAGTAACGGTTCTGTGGCCCTAAGTAACAATTCTGTGCCCTGAGTAACAATTCTGTGTCTGTCCGAGTAACATTCTGTGTGGCCCTAAGTAACTGTGGTTCTGTGGCCCTCAGTAACAATTCTGTGTCCCTGAGTAACAATTCTGTGGCCCTAAGTAACGGTTCTGTGGCCCTCAGTAACATTCTGTGTCCCTGAGTAACAATTCTGTGGCCCTAAGTAACGGTTCTGTGGCCCTCAGTAACGGTTCTGTGTCCCTCAGTAACAATTCTGTGTGTCCCTGAGTAACAATTCTGTGTGGCCCTAAGTAACGGTTCTGTGGCCCTCAGTAACAATTCTGTGTCCCTGATTAACGTTTCTGTGGCCCTAAGTAACGGTTCTGTGGCCCTCAGTAACAATTCTGTGTCCCTCAGTAACAATTCTGTGTGTCTGTGGCCCTGAGTAACAATTCTGTGGTCCCTGAGTAATCTAAGTAACAACGGTTCTGTGGCCCTCAGTAACAATTCTGTGTCCCTGAGTAACGTTTCTGTGGCCCTAAGTAACGGTTCTGTGGCCCTCAGTAACAATTCTGTGTCCCTGAGTAACGTTTCTGTGGCCCTAAGTAACGGTTCTGTGGCCCTCAGTAACAATTCTGTGTCCCTGAGTAACAATTCTGTCTCTCCCTGAGTAACAATTCTGTGTCCCTAAGTAACGGTTCTGTGGCCCTCAGTAACAATTCTGTGTCCCTGAGTAACAATTCTGTGGCCCTAAGT